TGCAGTGAGCCGAAATCGTGCCATTGCACTCCAGCCTGAGCAACAAGATATAAGTTGACAATTTCTACCAGACAACCTGGGAGACACTAATAGTACAGGGTCAAGGCTTGTTTTTTCCTGAACTCCCAGGCTGCAAATCCCTGGGAAGACTGGGAAGATTCAATTTCTGATCCACTCTTTTAACTCTGCAAGGTGTAGTTCTTTGGCATGCCAGTTTATTATTTATTTATTTTTGTGGGAAACATCTACCAAACTCCCCACTGTACCTGGGCTTTGGGTTTTGATTTCTGCCCCGTTCAATGTAGAATAAGGTCCGATCTGCTAGAATCAAATATAGCTTGCCTTTAGATCAAATGTGGTTTCCAGGAATTTATGCTCCATTTCTCTCTGGATTCTTGTTTACCTCACTTTTGACCTAATTACTTTTTACTACTTTTTCAACTTTTGAATGCTCGTAAGAAACTTTTTGTTTTGGCTGGGTGTAGTGACTCACCCCAGCACTTTGGGAGGCCGAGGCAGGCCAATCACCTGAGGTCAGGAGTTCAAGACCAGCCTGGCCAACATGGTGAAACCCCGCCTCTACTAAAAATACAAAAATTAGCTGGGCGTGGTAGCTGATGCCTGTAATTCTAGCTACTCAGGAGGCTGAGGCAGGAGAATCACTTAAGCCCGGAAGGCGGAGGCTGCAGTGAGGGAAGATCACGCCACTGCACTGCAGCCTGGCTAGGCGAAAAAAAAAAAAGTTTGTTGTTTTTATTTTATCTCAAAGTTTTAGCTGTTTTGACCAGGAAGGTTCATCAAACGTAACTCAGTCCATCATTATTAGAAACCTGAGTGGTATCATCATATCACCCAGGCGGGTCACTCACTCCAACTCCTGTACTGAACTTCAAGTTCTTCCAAAGTCTAATTAGTTTACCACCTGAGGCATCTCTAAGTGTCTTCTCTCTGCCTAAAAACATACTTTTCTTTACTCATCCCAGCTGGCCTCTTCTGGCTAACTGCTCATTCTTCCCTGGTTCCCAAGGCTTTGCTAAACCCTACTTCTCTGTGCTTTCACAATCCCTATGCATCTCCTATCTAGCACCGTGTCAGTGGCTGTTGCTGTTACTGCTCTGTGAGGGCCAGTCCTTAGACATCTCAAGACTGAGAGCCAACATATCACAGTGGTTAACAATGTGGCACCTGGACCAGACCCAGTGGCTCACGCCTGTAATCCCAGCACTTTGGGAGGCCAAGGCGGATGGATCACTTGAGGCCAGGAGTTTGAGACCAGCCTGGCCAACATGGTGAAACCCTGTCGCTTCTAAAAATACAAAAATTAGCTGGGCGTGTTGGTGCATACCTGTAATCCCAGCCACTCGGGAGGCTGAGGCACGAGAATCACTTGAACCCAGGAGGCAGAGGTTGCAGTGAGTGGGGATTGCACCACTGCACTCCAGCCTGGTCATGACAGAGCGAAAAAAAAAAAAAAGAATGTAGCATCTGCAACCATAGTGACTAGGTCTAAATTCCAGTCATACCTACCACTGTGACCATAATGTCCCTGTGCCTCAGTTTTCTCATCTGCAAAATGGAACAACAGTTGAAGACTGCCTTGTTGGGTTGTGAGGATTCAATGAGTTCACGTATGAAGTAGGACACATGTAAAATGTCTAGGACTGCCGGGCGTGGTGGCTCACGCCTGTAATCCCAGCACTTTGGGAGGCTGAGGTGGGCAGATCATGAGGTCAGGAGATCGACACCATCCTGGCTAACACGGTGAAACCCCATCTCTACTAAAAATACAAAAAACTAGCCGGGTGTGGTGGCGGGCGCCTGTAGTCCCAGCTACTTGGGAAGCTGAGGCAGGAGAATGGCGTGAACTGAGGAAGCGGAGCTGGCTGTGAGCCGAGACTGTGCCTCTGCACTCCAGCCTGGGCAACAGAGCGAGACTCCATCTGTCTCAAAAAAAAAAAAAAAAAAAAAAAAATTGCTGAGGACTGTGCCTGGTACATAGAAAGTGCTCAATATTGGCCAGTTTTATTATTGAAGTCTCAGTTTACATGTTCTTTGGCATCCAATTACTGAATATTTTTCTATTTTTATGAACCAAGATGATGATTTCCAAGTAGCTCTAGCTGTGACTTGGTGAGGTGAGGATTTGCCTAAGCCACTCTCTACTGCAGAAAGTCCCACCTCCTGTGATTTCCTTGAACCCCCTAGTTATGAATCGGGCAGCCTAATTAATCAGTTGTCTTTTCCTTCCTTAAATCTCTCTGCTAAGCTCTGCTGGCAGAACAGTCCAGCAGGATCACTGAGCCAGGACTGAGGTGATTTCTCATCCTAGGTTTACCACTGACATGCCATGGGCCTTGAGGTAAACAACTTAATTTATAGGGTCTTATCCACAGTCCATTGCAGTCCTGCTAGTCCCTGGACTGCTCAGTCTGGCATGATGTCCTCCTTTACTACTGATTCCAAAGCAACCTATTTTCTAAGGTATACCTCAACTGTCATCTCTTCCACAAGGTGCAGCCCATCTCCAAATTATTTCTGTTTTACTTGTTTTTTAAAGATAAGGTGTCACTATTATTACCCAGACTGGTCTCAAACTCCTGGGCTCAAGTGATCCTCCTGCCTCAGCCTCCCAAGTAGCTGGGACTACAGGCGCATATCACCACACCCAGCTATTGCTCCCTTTCTAACTTAGCTGTAAACCAACTGCATAAACTTATGCAACTATTGCTGACTGGATTAATTCACTTTAGAGTAAATGTGAACAAATCAACTGTTTTTAGAATTGTTTCCTATTTGATAAATACGCTGGAAATTTTATCCAAGAGACCAAATGAAGCTTTACATTTCAAAACTTTAATGTCAATTAAGCAGCCTTTTCACTTGATATAAACTCACACACCCAGGAACACTGTGGGCTCAGAACATTATTTCACAAGCAGGTATTGTTGGCATGTTGTTTGTGTCACATTTAGATTCCGATTAACATGACATCATTTTGTTCCTCAGATCCACAACTTCCACAATGGGAAGGATGTTAAAAAAAAAAAAAATACAACCATCTGTGTGCACTGTTTCAAATGATAATCAACCTGACATACACAATAAAAGTATTTGAAAGTTACATCACCAGTTGCACTTAATGAGTCATCCTTTGTCAATGTTAGAATGAGGGAACCAGGATATGATTAGGAAGAGACTCAAGGGGTAAAATCTGAAGATTCTGTCCCATACCTCTGCAGAACTGTGGACCCCCACAGAGGACTTAAGGGAGGGGCTCAGAAGCAAAGGGCTGTTTTGAAAATAGTTTGATTTTGACACAATGATTTGCAGACAAGCCCAGCCACTGTGGGGAAAAGATAGAGAATGAAGAAGTTCCAAATAGCTAAGATGAACGTGAACTTCTAAACAGAATGCATTTTGATTGAAGAAGAAAGCTTTAGGATTATATCCACTTTAAGAAGTCTGCTGGTGGTATCTGGCTTTAGAGGCAGGTAATGCCTTTTGACACCCTTTCTTCAAAGAAAGGGGTAAGGGAAAACGAGACCAAAAAAAAAAAAAAAAACAAAACAACACCTTCTCAGGCCGGGCCTGGTGGCTCACACCTGTAATTCCAGCACTTTGGAAGGCTGAGAAGAGCGGATCACAAGGTCAGGAGCTCGAGAGCTGCCTGGCCAATATGGTGAAACCCCATCTCTACTTAAAAATAAAAATAAAAAATAAAAATTATATATATATATAAATTAGCCGGGCTTGGTGACAGGTGCCTATAGTCTCAGCTACTTGGGAGGCTGGGGCAAGACAATCATTTGAAACTGGGAGGTGGAGGTTGCAGTGAGCCAAGATCATGCCACTGCACTCCAGTCTGGGTGGCAGAGTGAGACGCCATCCAAACAAAAAAAAACCCACAAAACCAAAAAAACACTTTCTCAGATATGTGGCATAAAGAATTTCTCAATCCAGGATGTCATTCCTCCACTGACAAAAACTGACTAAATAATTAAGTCTTCTACTGAAAAATGTAGGCAAGGTGGTCATCTATCACAGTGCCCACCAGGATGAAGTTTGTAGCAAAACTCAAGGATACCACAAAGCAATGCTACTGCAGCACAAACTGAACAAGGAGGCCCTACAGTAAGATACCAGATTAGTGCTTAAATCCTCAGAAGAAAATGGTCAGTCTGGATCAAGAGAAAAGTTCATCCAAACAAACCTACTTCAGATAAGCACATATATATGATCTACGGCACATACCAAAATGAAAAAATTGGAGTTGTAGTGGCCAATAGAACACATCCTTCAGCTTACCTTTTTTTTTTTTTTTTCTGAGCCAGAGTCTCGCTGTCACCCAGGCTGGAGTGCAGTGGCATGATCTTGGCTCAATGCAACCTCCGCCTCCCGGGTTCAAGCGATTCTCCTGCCTCAGCCTCCTGAGTAGCTGGGATTACAGGCATGTGCCACAATGCCCAGCTAATTTTTGTGTTTTTAGTAGAGATGGGGTTTCACCATGTTGGCCAGGCTGGTCTCACACTCCGCCCACCTCAGCCTTCCAAAGTGTTGGGATTACAGGCATTAGCCACCGTGCTGTACCCGGCCCAACTTACGTTTCATCTAATGACCTTATTAAGTGTTCACTTTTCAAAGGATCTTTTAACTTCTTCTGAATGAACATTAGTCAGCTGCCCCTCCCACTAGCCAACCTTTAGCCCTGAGCACACATGGGTATGAAAACAATCAAATTTAATAGCATCCTAAGTCTCAACCCAAGAGGAACAATTAATAGTAACACTGATTGAGCTGCTTCACCACCTTTCCCCACAACCCACCTCTGTGTCACCGTCTGCTATTCTACTGACTTGGAGGCCAACAATATAACCTTCCCCACAACACTCTAAAACAGCTACCTATTTTTATCTCAAAAGTACTGACAGAAGGCTCCATTAGCAGCAAACAGACTTATGAACACAAGGTCCTCTAAGCTAGGAAAGCATTACTCTTTGAAATGGGGCTATATTTACAAATTTTATTTTTTTATCCCAAAAATACATATAAATGAACACCTGCTCTACAAATGCAGGGAGGCCTTTGCCTAACATTGTCATATGAAAATCAGTATCAGCTCTTTAACACACAATTTACATATATACATACATATACACTATATGTAAGCAGCGAATACTTTGCTACTTACACATATTCCTCTGGTGGAAAACTAGGAAACTGGGAAATTCCCCTGCTTTCCAACCTTGGGAAGGTAAATACAGCCTCTCTGAACAATTTTTAAAGGATGAAATGTGTAGAAACAATGTAAACAACACAACCTGCTTTAGACATATACAAGTTATTAGAATAAAGAACCTGCCACATCAGTGACAGTTTATTTCTCAAAGAAAAAAAAAGGAGATAACATTTGAATAAAAATGCAAAACTGAAGTACAGTTAATATGATCAAAACTGTTGTGTACATGCTCCATGGAGAAATCAGGAATTCTTTCAGAAAGAACAGATCCACGGCCAATTTCAGTCACTTGTGATGCTGAATCAGCACCCACTGGTAGCAACCAGGATCCTTCTGTACAGTCACGGGCTTGAGCAGGTGCCATAAAGCATCTGTTTAAGTTAAACAGTCAATAACGTTTACTGACTGCAGTACATTCCCACCCCCAAAAGACTAAGTGCAAAATCAACTTCTAAGCTCAAGAGCTCAACCAGGTCAAAGCTTTGGTATATACTAGAGGTTGTTTTGGTGATAACCAAAGCCTAGTAAGATTCTCTGCTCAGGGGTTCACCCCAAAAGAAAAACACCTGGTCCACAAAGCTTAATACCTATATAAATAAAGTTAACTGTACAAAGAGAACAAGCCATGATTTACCCTTAACCAAGGGTTTATAGTTTCCTAGGCAGCAGTTCTGAAAGCACCAACTAAAACCACAACGCTTCTACTAAAACACGGTGTGTTGTAATTGGTGAGACTGTTCCGAAAACAAATGCCTGCAGGCATGTGGCCAAGGTGCCACAGAAAAAGTTTAACAAACATTAGTCAGTGTATTCAAATGGTAACACAATCTGGTCAGCAACAGGGGAAAGACTTAAGGCAGTAAGAGGCATTACAGAGAGCATGATAGTGTTGGACCCACCACCATAGTGCTCTCTGAGTCAATCAAAGCCTTCCAACAAGGAAAAGTGTCTCAATAGTTTGGGTTCTTAGTTTGTTAGCTGTCAGACACTTCTTCCTCCTCCTCCTCATCCTCATCATCTTTCCTGTCTATTTCTGAAGTGTCCGACGACTCATGGAGCAAGACATATTCTCTGCTACTGAATCCAAATTTGAGTACATCCTTTTCTTTTAGTTCATAGTATCTCTGTGGCTCAATACGTTTGTTGTTTAAGAAGGTTCCATTGCCTGAGCCAAGGTCAATGATGTAGGGCTTCACTCTTCGGCCAACTGTGCCATCAGCACGGGTATATTCCACAAGCCTAGCAGAGAAAAAGGAGAAACCTATGAGCAAACTTCTGCCTCAGATCATCCAGCCTCTCTGAAGCTCTTTGCTAAGACAGCCTAGATGATGTAAATAACCTGACTTGAGCATAATTCAAGTTAAAATTCTAGGGAATCAAAGAAATCAAGGGGAAAGCATGGCCCTGGGAAGGGAAATTGGAAGTTTAAATATATTTAGTAGAAAAGGTGAGAATGGGTTACTGGAGGGTGGGGAGAATCCATGGAAGATCAAAAGGTGGAAATGCAGAATCCAAAGTCTCTTGCTGTGGTTAAGAAAATACATTTTTTTCTGTTGTTTATAATCAATGTTTCTTTAACCTATATTTCAATATATTTCAGTTCCTGTCCAAATGGGAAAAAACAGTGGACCTGGACTTCAGAGTCAAGGGAGCTATATTTGAGCCAGAGTTCTACTATGGCAGGAGTCCCCAGCTCCTGGACCATGGACTGGTACTAGTCTGTGGCCTGTTAGGAACCAGGCCGCACAGCAAGAGGTGAGCAGTGGGCAGACAGGCAAGCAAGCCAAACTTCATCTGTATTTTCAGCTGCTCCCCATCACTCGTATTATTATTGCCTGAGCTCCGCCTCCTGTCAGATCAGCGGTGCCATTAGTCTCATAGGAGCGTGAACCCTATTGTGAACTGTGCACAGGTGGGATCTAGGTTGCGTGCTCCTTAGGAGAATCTAATGCCTGATCTGTCGCTGTCTCCCATCACCCCCAGATGAGACCATCGAGTTGCAGGAAAACAAGCTCAGGGCTTCCACTGATTCTAGATTATGGTGAATTGTATAATTATTACATTATATATTACAATGAGATAATATTAGAAAATAAAGTGCACAATAAATGTAATGCACTTGAATCCTGAAACCATGCCCCTGGTTCCATGGAAAAACTGTCTTCCATGAAACCGGTCCTTGGTGCCAAAAAGGCTGGGGACCACTGTACTATAGTGATCATTTGTTAGGCAAGTCACTTGGTTTTGCTGGGCTTCAGTTTTCTCATCTGTCAAATGGGGATATAAATACTTGTCCATTCAAAGTCAGGAGACCATGTTAAAACAAAACAAAACAACAACAACAACAACAAAAAATGGGCCAGGCGCAGTGGCTCACACCTATAATCTCAGCAATTTGGAAGGCCGAGGCGGGTGGATCACGAGGTCAGGAGTTCGACACCAGACTGACCAATACAATGAAACCCTGTCTCTACTAAAAATACAAAAATTCGCTGGGTGTGGCAGCGTGCGCCTGTATTCCCAGCTGCTCGGTAGCCTGAGGCAGGCGAATCGCTTGAATGTGGGAGGCAGAGGTTGCAGTGAGCTGAGATCGCGCCACTGCACTCCAGCCTGGGCACAGAAGGAGACTCCGTCTCACAAAAACAAAAAACCAAAAACCGGTCCTATCCTTCTCACAGGATTGTTGTGAGAATCATCACAGATGTCCCACGCAAGCTATCAAGAACCAGTTTCAAAATTAGTAGAGCACAGAGGCACATGCCTGTGGTCCCAGTTACTCAGGAGGCCAAGGTGAGAGACAATCATTTGAGCCCAGGAGGTTGCTGGAGTGAGCTGTGTTTGCTCCACTGCACTCTAGACTGGGTGACCGAGTGAGACCTTGTCACAAAAAAACAAAAAATAGATTAAAAGTATAATGTTCTTATAAATATGTAAACAATTATTTAAAGGGAAGTTAGATTAACAATACTCTTTAGATATGAGGGGTATGGGATTCTTCTGTATATGTATGAACAAAAATCTTAGTAATCCTAACTAACTGAGCAATTGTTTCTGCTCACATTACAGTTTCTTCCTCCATGTTACTTACCGATATTGAAAGACCGCATGCTGCTTTGAACAAGATGGGTGATCGATAGGAATGTCTGCAATGCGGCGGTGTCGACCCAGTAGATACGCACTCTGTCGATGTATGTACATGACTGGAAGCACCTCATCATTTTTAAATGGGTAGAGACGCCACCGTTTTTTTGGAATACGTGCTTCTGGGGGCTCACTATATTTAATGACTACACCCCGGAAAGTGTTGGTGTCCTCAAGAAGTGCCCCAGAAAGTTCATAGCTTGGTTTTTCTTTAGCAGGCACCTCTTTTTCTTTGTTGTTGCCACCAGGCCGAGGAACCAACTCCTGAGACTCACTACCGCCACCACCAATGTCATTCCTCTGGCGATGCTCCCGTCGCCTGGCATTATAAAACTCCCGCTCTTCTTCCTGAGCCTGAAGGTTCTGAGTGTCTCGCTCCCGTCCCTGACCCTGCCCACTCCCAGGTCTCTCGTTAGACGTTCTCCTTTGGTGGGAATGGCCCCGGTGTCTGTCCCGGTCACTTTTCCTAGCTCTCCTGTGTTCCTGTTCTGATGGTTCCCTGTGCTGCCGATCCTCCCGTCCTCTCCGGGGATGATCCTCACGCTCCTGAAATTCAAACAGATTCTGTAATTTTAACACAGTGCACAATCTAAAGGCAGCCCAAATCTTGTTCTTTTTGAATGAGGTATATTCAAAAGGTCTTTTGTAATTTGGACTTTGGCATTTAGAACAACATTTCCCACAGAAATAAGATTATGTCTGGTGGTTATGTTCCCTTGCAAGGCCACAAAAATGATATCCCATGCTGCTATTCAACTATAGCCCTAATAGCACAAGCCCAGGTCCAGAGCCCTAAAAACAAGAGACTATTTAGTCCAGAAAGGAGAAAGAAAAATAATTTCCTCCTTTTCACAACAAAGGTAACTATGGGCAAACTTACAGGGAAGAATATACAGAAAATAGAACTAAGAGTTAAGTAGTCAGGTACAAGATATGTAAAGAAGAAGCTAGCTTTCTCTCATGCCAAAAATGAAAATATAACAGTTTTTAAATCCTACTTCCACAGTTAAAAAAAAATTCAATACCTAGGAATAAACTTAAGAAACATGAAAGACATATAAGAAGAAATCTGTAAAAATTCATTAAAATAGAGGCTTTTTAAAGATCTGAAGAAATGGAGAAACATACCATGATTTCTTGAAAAAGACAGCATTGAAAATCAGCCTAGGCCAGGCATGGTGGCTCATGCCTATAATCCCAGCACTTTGGGAGGCCGAGACAGGCGGATCACCTGAGGTCAGGAGTTCCAGATCAGCCTGGCCAACATGGTGAAACTCCATCTCTTCTAAAAATACAAAATTAGCCGGGTGTGGTGGCACATGCCTGTAATCCCAGCTACTCAGGAGGCTGAGGCAGGAGAATCGCTTGAACCTGGGAGGCAGAGGTTGCAGTAAGCCGAGATCGCGCCATTGCACTCCAGCCTGGGCAACAAGAGTGAAACTCCTTCTCAAAAAAAAGAAAGAAAAGAAGAAAAAAAATCAGCCTGGTAGAAAATGTCTGCAACACAAACCAGACAGTAGTCCTAGGGGGATACATTCTAAGTATGGTGGATGGCTGAAACCACGGATAGTACTGAACCTGACTGCCATCAAACGTAACACATTTCTGTTCACATCTTCCACCCATAAATTTAATGCCTTTTCTATCTTAACTAAGCACTTATGAACTGTGGCTGTAACTTTTACAGTATGAGATACAACAGCAAAACTAGCATGAATTTCTTTTTCCTTCCCCACAATTTCACAATAGAAGATTCATTCTTACTATCGATCTTAGCAACTTCAATATAGGATTTGAAAAGTTTTTTTTAAGTTGAGAACTTTCATCTTTTCATTTAGGAAGCACTTTACAGCTTCTCTTTAGCCTTCCTAATTGCCAAAATCACTACTATTGCACTTTGGGGCCACTACTAAATAAAATAAAGGTACTTGAATCCAAGCACTGCAAACTGCAACAGTTATCTGATAACCAGGATGACAACTAAGTGACGGACAGGCAGGTAGCGCATACAGCACAGATACACCAGACAAAGGAAGGATTCATGTTCCTGGTGGGACAGCACAAGTTTACACCAAATGACTCAGGATAGTGACCAATTTAAACTTTATGAGTTGTTTTTTTCTGGAGTTTTCCATTTAATATTTTCAGATGTAGAAAGTGAAACCACAGATAAGGGGGGACTATTTTATATTACTATATCAATAAGAAACAATTCAACAGAGAAACTGACAAATGGCCAGGTGTCAGTGGCTCACACTTGTAATCCCAGCACTTTGGGAGGCCAAGGCAATGGATCGCTTGAGCCCAGGAGTTTGAGACTAGCCTGGGCAACATGGTGAAACCCCGTCTCTACTAAAAATACAAAAATCAGCTGGGCACAGTGGTGCATGCCTGTAGTTCCAGTTCCTCAGAAGGCTAAGGTGGGAGGATTGCTTGAGCCTGGGAGGCAGAGGTTGCAGTGAGCTGAGATTCCACCACTGTACTCCAGCCTGGATGACAGAGCAAGACTCTGTCTCAAAAATAAAAAAGGAAAGAAAAATGAACAATTTTCAGAAGAAATAAATGTCCAAGGGCCGAGCACAGTGGGTGACGCCTGTAATCCCAGCACTTTGGGAAGCCACGGCAGGAGAATTGCTTAAGCTCAGGAGTTTAGACCAGCCTGAGCAACACGGCAAAACCCCATTTCTACAAAAAATACAAAAATCAGCCAGGCATGACAGCATGCACCTGTAATCTAAAATTACAGCTATTCTAGAATTTGAGGTGGGAGGATCACTTGAGCCCAGGAGGTCGAGGCTGAAGTGAGCTATGATCATACCACTGCAGTCCAGCCTGGGCTACAGAGACCCTGTCTCAAAAAAAAAGAAAAAAGAAATACATGTCCAATAAATGCATGAAGATATGCTTAACCTAATAACCAAAGCATCAAATTCTAAAAGAAACATGAATTTTCTCTCCTTGAATTAGTAAAATTAAAAAGATCAATAATATCTACAGTCAAAAAGGAAGGCACAGGAAAATGGGTATTTTCAGTCACTGCTGGTACAGGTATAAACTAGCATAGCCTATTTAGGTCAATTTGACAGTATTTAATCAAAATCTCATCAACCACTAATGCCACTTATAGAAATCAATCCTACAGAAATACTAGCAGAAACGCACAAACACATACATATGAATGTGTTTACTGTAATTTCATAATAAAAAAACTGGAAAAAACTTAACGTCCTGCAACGGTAGAATGGTTAAATTATTATCTATTCATACAAAGGAATACTTCACAGCCATGAAAAAGAATGAGATCATGACATAGAAAGATATCTAATATATTGTTAAATGAGAGGGGAAAAAAGAGAAGGGGCAAGTTTCACAATAAGACCAGATATTTCTATATACAGACTTGGCAGATGAAATACCTGGAGAGATGTTCCCACTATAATTTAACTAGATACTTATTAAATTTTTAATGTATTGTTGGGCTGTCAATAAGCAAGGCAAAATCTCCAATGAGAAAAAAATCTCCAAAGGGGGGTAAGAAAAAAAAAACAGATTTGAGCTCTAAGCATGGGCTCAAATACTAAAGAATACTAGACACACACAAGGAAATGGAAACAAGCCACTGAGCATGACAAGCAGCAGAAACAAGTCTTATAGGGTGGGCATGGTGGCTCACGCCTGTAATCCCAGCACTTTGGGAGAGCAAGGGGGGCAGATCACTTGAGGTCGGTCAGGAGTTCGAGCCCAGCCTGGCCAACATTGTGAAACCCTGTCTTTACTAAAAATACAAAAATTAGCCAGGTGTGGTAGTGCATGCCTGTAATCCCAGCTACTTGGGAGGCTGAGGCAGGAGAATCGCTTGAACCCAGGAAGTGAAGGTTGCAGTGAGCAGAGATGGCGCCACTGCATTGTAGCCTGAACGACAAAGCAAGACTCCATCTCAAAAAAAAAAAAAAAAAGAAAGAAACAAGAGGCCGGGCAAAGTGGCTCACGCCTGTAATCCCAGCATTTTGGGAGGCCGAGGCGGGTGGATCATGAGGTCAGGAGTTCAAGACCAGCCTGGCCAAGATGGTGAAATCCCGTCTCTACTAAAAATACAAAAAATTAACCGGGCGCGGTGGCGGGCGCCTGTAATCCCAGCTACTTGGGAGGCTGAGGCAGGAGAATCGCTTGAACTCGGAGGGCCGAGGTTGCAGTGAGCCGAGACTGTGCCATGGACTCCAGCCTGGATGACAGAGACTCCATCTCAAAAAAAAAAAAAGAAACAAGTCTTATAGATGTAGATCCCCAAGGACTTCATTCATGTACAAAATTTTATTATTATTTTTTTATTTTAAAAAGAAAAAATGAGACATTCTTTGCGGAGAGTCGCCGGGGTTTCCTGGTTCAACAGTGCTTGGACGGAACCGGGCTCTTGTCCCCCACCCCGGCTGGCCGCCCATAGCCAGCCCTCTGTCACCTCCTCACTGGGCCCTCTGACGGTCCCAAGGCCCCCGTCGCCAGTCCAGCGCCATGCAGTCACTGCTGCGCAGCCACTGCCACCACGACTGCGCCCCCCTCGCAGGTGAGCCAGAACTACCACCATCAACCGCCAGATCAACCTGGAGTTCTACGCCTCCTACATCTACCTGTCATGTCTTACTACTTTGACCACGATGATGTGGCTTTGAAGAATTTTGCCAAGTACTTTCTTCACCAGTCTCATGAGGAGATGGAACATGCCGAGAAACTGATGAAGATGCAGAGCCAAAGAGATGGCCAAATCTTCCTTCAGGATATCAAGAAACCAGACCTTGACGACTGGGAGAGTGGGCTGAATGCAATGGGGTGTGCATTACATTTGGAAAAACATGGGAATCAGTCACTACTGGAACTGCACAAACTGGCCACCAACAAAATGACCCCCATTTGTGTGACTTCACTGAGACACATTACCTGAATGAGCAGGTAAAATCCATCAAAGAATTGGGTGACCACGTGACCAACTTGCGCAAGATGGGGGCACCCAAATCTGGCTTGGCAGAATATCTCTTTGACAAGTACACCCCGGGAGAGAGTGATAATGAAAGCTAAGCCTTAGGCTAATTTCCCCATAGCCATGGGGTGACTTCCTGGTCACCAAGGCAGTGCATGCATGTTGGGGTCTCCTTTGCCTTTTCTATAAATTGTACCAAAACACCCACTTAAGTTATTTGATTTGTACCATTCCTTCAAATAAATAAATTTGGTATCTCCCACCAAAAAAATAAACAAAACTTATTGCTATGGACTAGGTAACATACAAAAATGTTTGCAGATAATTAAGGTTAAAAATTTTAAAAGAGAGAGCAGCAAGAGACTTCCAAAATGATTAGGCAGAAAATGAGAATGATACAAAAATTCGCATGGCCCCTAATTAAAAAAATACATAATAATAATAAAAATGATTAGGCAGGTAGGACACAGTGCCTCACACCTATAATCCCAGCACTTTGGAAGGCCGAGGCAGGTGGATCACTGGAGTCCAGGAGTTCGAGACCAGCCTGGGCAACATAGTGAGACCCCCCCCC